GTGGTGGTGGTGGTGTGGTGGTGTGGTGGTGTGGTGGTGGAGATGTGGCGGTGACAGTAGCACCAACAGTCGGAACATAACGATTACACAAAAGTATCGCACAACCGAGAACGGCAGACCTGACCATGGGAATGAAGACTTAGATGCCAATGTTATTGCAGGGCTACGATGGTTTTGTGTTGAGGGTACGGGGATGGGCCCCCCCAATCCGTGCGGTCCACGTGCCTGCGAGCGGATGAGACTCCTCACTTCTTCCAGCTGGAAAAGGATATCCTGCTTGCTGTCGCTGACAACCGAGCGGATTGCTGGAAGGTCGAGTTCCGGCTGCTTGTCTTGGATTGCGGTCAGGACAGCAGAAAACTCGTACGAGAGATCCACCTGTGCAGGAACAGCCCTGATTGCATCCAAGACCTCAGATAGATCCATCTGAGGCCCGGCTGCTGGGCGTACAGATCTAATGGCGGCTAAGACTTCCGAGAAGTCCATGTCTTGCCCGGTCCCGGTCGGTCTTTCTCTCATGGCGGCCGATCCAGGCTCCAGTCCTTGCAGCTGTTGCAGCTGTTGCTGCAGGGACTGGAGCTTGCCGGTCACCTGACCACGCTGCTCAGCCAGTGCCGCCTTCACGTCTGCGGTCTGCTCCCCGATTGCCAGTAACACAGCCGAGAAGTCCAGTCTCTGAAAGATGCTTTGCAGAAACTGCTGTATTGCGGCAGTCTTATGGCTCAGCTTGTCACTCAGCATATCAGACATCACCTCGTGAGACTCCCAAGACCTTATCTCGCTGCTTGATGCACGTGGCAGAAGCAGTAGATAGCAGGCGAAGCAGTGGCAAGGCAAGCGGGAGCAAACAGGAAGCGGCTCTCGCACATCGGCTAGTCAAGCGGCACTGCCGGGGGCTGAACATGGTCGCTTGTGTCACTGCTGCCAGGTGCATTCACATTTGATGCAATTTCTGCACGCCAGGAGCGAAGCGAATAGCTGAGCCCCTGCAGGGAATTCACGAAGCCGAAACAGAGATCTGCTGGACTTTCACGACATGTAAAATGCCTGGGTGAGCTCTTGTGTCTCGCGAATGCTGTTCAGAACTGGCGTCAAATCCGTACCTGACAGCTGGAGGCAGACAAATCGCAAAGCCGATCACAGCGGTGCCAGCTCCGCTAAAGAAAAACTCACATTCTTCATTCCTACATGACTAAAGCGCCCAATGATGGCGGCCTTCATCCCGAAACCAAACCGCTACTGTACTGACTGTATCGTCAACTGTGACATGCTGCACCATCCTGGTTATTGTAATTATGGTGACCTGCAGACTGCTAACCCCTATGAGTCATGGATCTGTCGGAGGTACGACCTGCTTGGCAAAGTAGTTAGGGCTGGCACTAGTTGGCAGAACTGGTTGTGGGAAATCTTACTACAAGTTGCAACGCAAAGTTGTTCACCCAATTTGCAGGCTGGCAACTGGCAGGCTGTGAGCGGATCGCACTTAGCACTTGCGCGACAGAGCTTTCCAGCTTTGATTCCTTGCCCTGCTCCTTGGACCAAGTGTTGGCATCGGTGCGAGGGCCGGCACTGCAAGTAATTGAGGCAGGGCTCTTGGATCGCTTGGAGCACCTCCGAGTGATCCACTTGGACTTTGACATCCTAGCAGTGCAAATCTAAACCGCCAGTCAGAAACTCATGCATGCCACAATGTGTTGCTGCCAGCGCAAGGAATTAGAAGTGTCCTTGAACTGCGCAAGGAAGTTCGTCTGAAAATCATGGAGCTGTGGCAATAAGTCGGCGTGCACTTTCTGCACATCCATGCGAAGATGCGCCGAAACATCCCCGGATAGCTCAGCTTTCAGACGTTGCATCTGCTCTTCGAGGAGGTTCGCTGCAGAGCTGCGGTCCTTCTCCTGAGCATCCCACATGGCCTGACAGTAGGCCAGGCAGCCCTAAAACGTGAGCCGGAAAATACCACAAAGGGGCCGTGGCCTGAAACTTCGAAAGGAAGTCATGTCTCAACTTGTGCATCTGCTCCTTCACGACCGTATGCACAGCACGGTCGCTGTCCTTCTGCTCCTGTAGCGCCTCGTCAGAGCACAAATGCACCCAGTCAAAACACAACAAGACGGAATGAGATGATGCCACGGAAGGCCTCCATGGTGTCAGACACCCTCCTTTCGAGGTCTATCGTGAGCATCCGGGAGCTCTGCGACTCCATCTGCTGGATCTGCATCGCCTGCGCTGGCAAGCAGACCTGCTTTCGTTCTGTGTTCTAGATTCTAGATTCTTTATACTCAATCACCGAAGGCAGCTGCATTGCCGACGAATGGCTTCGATGGACCGTAGGAGGTTCGAGTACTGCTCTTCCAGATCCTCTTTGGTGACATAGCGCTTCAGTTCATCCAGCACCTGCGCCGAAAGCCACGACAGATTGAATGCAGGGCACTCTCCAGGAGTTCGAAGGCCTGGGAGACATCGGTGCGCAGCGAAAGCATGTCTGCAGCTTCTCCACTGGCGGAGACGGCTTTGAGCACCTTGCTGCCACCCTCAAGAAAAAAACAAAAAAGTATCAGCCAACACGGTTTCACCGTGGCTTAACCCTAGAGGCCCTAGAATGCAACATCCAGCGCTGTCCTGGAGAGGAAGGAGCGGGCCAAGGAGCAGGAACGGGAAGCACCAGGAGACCCCAATGAGCCACACGGAGGCCGGACCGCCAGGCCGGGCAGGAGCCTATGCCCTACAAGTAGTATGGCCTCACTGCTGGCGAGAGACGCTGTCTACTCTCTCCCGGATCACCATCTTCAAGGCCTCTGCATGCCTGTGGGCACATGTGATGAGCAGGGCCTTGCTTTGCTCAAGGCTTGGATGGGACTCGGTGGCCTATGCCAGCTGGTGACTGTTTCCTTCAGCTCCTCATGCATCTGCTCCTGACCGACGGCCTCGGACACCATTAGCAACTCATGGGAGAAGAGGTGTTGCCGAAATCATGTTCAGACTGGCGAAAGCAGCAGCCCGCCTGGTCTTCAAGCGCATGAAGGATGGCAGCATCGTCGAAAGCGAACTGTTTCTCCTGCCGCTACCAGTCACTTCATGCCACTTCCAAAGCACTTATTGCATCTTTCATCGGCCACCCTGGCTCCTGAATTGCTTGAAGGATGAGCGAGAAGTCAGGCTGCGGTATCTCCTTTGGGAAAGGACCAAGCAAATGTATTCAGCCTTACCCGTAGGTGAACTCGACGGTCGTGCGGTCCATTCGGCTGCCTTCTAATGTTTCTGAGGATCAACAGCCCATTGAAGCTAGTCTGGGGCACTGCTGACGTTGGATGAAATATGTTGATGGCATATGCTCTATTCCCTGTGCCACGGCCTGCAGACCCTTGACCGCCACCGCAATGTTGTCGAATTTGACGGCGAGCTGTTGCTCGTCTTGCTGCAGGGACCCGAGAAAGTCGCGCACTTGGTCCAAGCTGAGCTTGATGTCTGTTTCCAGCCGTTCCTGGGCGAGACACTCCGCCCTGACGGTGTCATCCCATGATTACTGACCGTCAGCGCCTGCATGTCCTGGAGGCACTGGTCCTGTGGCGCCAGGGAAACATTGACGACAGTGTAGCCCAGAGACAACTTGTATGTATCAGGACCACACAACCACCAGCATGTGCTTATCATGCAAAGGACCATCTGTGCCCGGTCCAGATGGTCTTTTTGCGCCGCTTGGCCATCGAGGATCTCAGCAAGATTGATCTTGATTTCCACCGACCGCACAGCCTCCACCACTTTGGACGTGAGAGCCTTGAGTGGAGAAATATGAAAGCACATTGAAATGAACTGAAGACTGAAGCTGGTTTCCTGCCATGAGGCGCCTGCCTCCTTGGACTCGGAGTGCAAACCTTCGTGCAAGCCCCGCAGATGGCTTTGCACCTCCTCCAAGTGCCGGACCTTAGGATCGGGACTCTCAAGCGATGCTCGCTCTGCAGAGCCTCAAAACCATGGGGCTTGGGCCAAGCCGTCTTTCAGCTCTCCAATGTCTGTTCGCTGGTCGCGAAGGGCGTTCAGCACTTCGAAAACTGTGTCCTGATTGACACTGTACAGTGCACTTCTTCTAAGAGTTTTCGCTTCTTCATGCCCTGGTGAGGCGACGGCTCTGCACACTTTGAGGTGCCTGAGGCGACGGCGACTTTCACCTCTCGAAGGCCTCGAAGAACTGGCGTGAAGTCAACTTGTACTTTCCTCGGTACTACAACGAAGGCAAAGGCGCTTTCTGTCCCATAAAGGCTGCAGCACTATCATCACGGCGGCAGCTATCTCCGGTGCAGGCCAAATGGCATCTCCTGAACGTTCTTGATGAGGCGGGTGATGTCGTCGGTAATCTCGGTGGTGTCGCCATGCTTCTTGATGGCTGCAAGGACTTCTGTAAAGTCGACGTGCACCTCCACAGCTGATTAATCCATGGTGGTTTTGCTCTAGATTGCTCTAGCGTAAATAAGACACAGTTGCATATGGACGTTCGCGACATAGTTTGCATTGTTAAACCCTGTGCAAGTCCAGTGCAACGATCGTCGCTCCTTCTCACACATAGCATCTGAAAGGTATATGTGATATGCGGAAGATTGAGGGAGCGTGCCCACGCACCCAGCCATTCAAATCTGAAGCCTCAACACCTAAACGCCCCCTTAACCGACATCAGACCCTAAAATCCTAAGCCCCAGACCCCGAAACCCCCAAAATGTGAGTGTCTGAATGCCTCGTCCACGATTACCCCCCCCCTCTGCTCTTTCTATCTGTGTACATGTATACTGTATACATACCTGTAATGTACGTGTAGAAGCGCATGCAAGTAGTGCACCGCAACCCAATCTTTCCTGTAATCCGTACTCTGTAATGCAATCTGTAACACAGCATACCTTTCCATCCCGCCTTGTTGTCTGCAATGGCATCCAACACCGGAGAGAAGTCCACCTGCACGTCTGCAGTCTACAAAGCAGCGACAACGGAATCCCTTCTTGGAAGAAGAAAGGACACTCTTTAAATCTTATGGGACAAGCAACACTTGACGAGACACAAGGAGCTTGCCTCAGCAAAAGGACAAGTGGGTTCTGCTCCTAGCCTTGGCTTCCTTCTCTTCCGAGACGGTTTGCAACAGAATGGAGAACTGCTGCGAGAGCCGTGCGGTCCTTACACTGAAATTGACGATGTCACGCCTTTCGGCAAAGTCTGCACAGAAAGATGTCATCTTTCTGCTGTCCGAGGAGCATGTCCTTCAGACCAGCTAGACCAGTTTTGACGGACTGGTCTTGTGATTTCTCCTCCAAATTCAGACAAGCTTTTGGGTGCCTCTGATCGTTAGCCCTTCCTGCAGCATTTCCAGGATGCTCGCGCTGGACTCTGCCAAGGGATTCAAGGAAGTCTTCCTTGGAATAAATAGCTTGGAGTCTTGGAGTCCACAGATTCTGGAGAGATGTCGTAAGGCGGCTCTCGGTGCAGGCCCAGGCTCAGTCCTTCAGCAATCGTCTGGCAAGTGGTCTCTGCAGCATCATCTATGCTGGACAGCACCGGAGCGAAGTCTACCTTCATCTTCCTCGAGTGGACGCGGGGCCCCGGGGGATGCAAAGCACCCATCGGCACAGCGCAGGAAAACACACTCCGAGACTCGTCGTGCGGATCTCGTCCAGCACTTCAGAGAAGTCGATCTGCCCCTGTTTGCGATCGATCTCCTCTAAAATGGCAGCGAACTGCTTGGACATGTCCTCTTGCAGGGTCAGTTCCTTGGTCAAGGCGAAAGCTTCTCCTAGAATTTCTAGTAAAGGCGCCTTCAGCTACAGCTCATGATGCGACCTGGGCTTCGTTCACGGCTGTCAGCACTGGCGAGAAGTCCACAGACACTTTGTTCTCGATGATGCTCTCCAGCACGGGACTGAAGTCGATGGCAGGTTGCCTCAGGCAGTCTTGAGCCAGGCTACACCTTCAAAGCACCGGCAAAGTGTCGTGAGTGCAGCCAGAGGTGCCGAGCCCATACGATGCCTGGTATGGTTTCGAACTCTGTTGCTATCTGCGCCTGCAACTCCTTGACGGAGTTCAACATCTGTTCGGTGGAGCTGCGCAGGTCGTCATTTGCCTTCCCGACACTGGCAAATTCGCGTTGATCGCATCTGTCTTTCTTTCGCAAGGGTCCCGTCTTTTCCGACGGGAAGGGAAGGGGAGGACGGGGGAGGGGGGAGAGGGGAGAGGGGAGGAGGGAGCGAGGGAACCACAGACCAAACGACGAAGAAGCAGAAACGGGCCCAATGTGCAGCCGAAACGCAGTAACGGCCTCCAGCACTGGCTGGAAGTCCACCTCTACATGTCGGTCTTGGACCTCTTCGTGTATCTTGCCTCATTACTCGGCAGATCGCGGAAAAGCACGCCCATGTGCAAGGTGTGGACGACGTGGGACTGTTTCGCAGCTTCGTGTCTTAGGGGACATGTTTGCTGCTTTCAAAGCCCCTACTGGAGTAGGTTATCAGACAGATAGTGTCCCAATCTTCCCAGCACTGGAAACATGGGCATACTTCCCATGCGTGGCGTGGGAAAGCATATGGAAGCCAAGCCGCGAATCTCTTCGCCCATCTCGGAGAGACGTGCCTGCATCTTGCACAGTATCTTGCACTGCGAATGGTTTTCAGGCTCACGCTCGTAACGGGGCAGCGGTCCTCCGTTCGAGCGAACGCTTCTCTGAAAGCCGCCACCGGGATGATCTCCTCCAGCGCTTTTGCACTCGAAATGCTGAATCAACCTGCCTGTGGCAACGACACCAAGTGGGGCACCTTCACTCCCTCCAATAGCTCAGAAAAGTCGATGTCCGCAACCATGTCACGAACTGTCTGGAACATGTCGTCCAGATCGGACTTGTTCAAGCTTTTCGTATCCTTGGCGACACACGTCACTTTACCAGGGCCGAAGGCAGGTGCACGCGCGCGGAGGCGCGGGGCTAGGCGGCACGCGCTGGGCATGCTGAGTCTCGCAAGGCCGACGAGGCACTTGGGGCGCTTGGGGCATGGAGGGATGCATTCGTCGGCCAAAGACCGGCTCGTTGGCCTACAGAATAACAAAGCCCCGCCACGACACACGCCATACATCGCATCTTTCCCCACTAAGGCCCCACGATGCCATACGCACACCAGTCCCCCCAACAAGGGGCCCCCGGCCCCCATCCTATGCACAAGCCCACCGGGCCAGGCCGGAGAGGGCCTTCAGATGCGAGATTTCCTCGCCTATCTGCGAGACGGCATCAGACAGCGCCTCGGCCGAAGGGAAAATGCAGGTCACCGCGACTTCAGGCAGCGGAAAGCGCCTGAATCGACCCGTTGGTGTTTTTGAACTCCTTGGTTGCTGGAATCTCACGGAAGGTTTCGGCACTGGCTGAGGGCTCATGCCAAAGCCAAAGAACACCTTCGCAAGATGGAAACATCCATGCCACCCGAGGGTCTGCCTCCAGGACGTCTTTCTCGACGGGTGCGGGGTATGCTTGGAGCATGTGCTTGTGCTGCTCCATTGACCGAAGCCGCCTGTGCACAAACACACCGACACACTCACACACAATTGGACTATGTTGAGACACTTTTTGATGAGCTGGGTCTGAAGAAAACTGCACTGAAAGCTTGCAACATGCTGGAAAACTTCTAACCTTGGTGCCACAGGCTGTCTACTCTTGATGCCAAGAGGGGGCCATTCTTGTCTGCAGCTGCGAGTAGACAGGACTTCCATAGCTTCGTTGAGTGTGGCGGGATGCAGGTGCCACACTCCCCTTAACAATTCTTGAGCTACCGTTAGTAGCAAGGTACACGCAAACGGGTCCACTCGCGCACTGCTGCTTATCCAGACTTGTGACCTGCATGAGGAAGATTGACGAAATCTCAACCCAGATCTGCTCGGTTCTATCCCTGAGGCTGGCCTAATCTCCTCAAACGCCTTGAGGTTATCGTTTCGGACTGTCTGAACCATCTCCTTCGTCTTCGAGATCTCAGAATCCAATTCCTTCTGCCTCACGGGTCGCCGAGGAGCCCGCTTAGGATGGCACCGTCGCATTGCGGCCCAGGAACAGAGGCTCAAGTAAGCTTTGAGTATCTTGATTGATCTGGACCCGCAGCTGATCCAGCTTCGACGATAGATCGGTCCACATCTCCTCGGCGAGAATGCTTCTGGCACTGGCCTGGCAAGGGCAAGCGGTTGAGACCGATCATTATTTTAGAGTCGCAACAAAGCCAACCTCGTGGCGGGAGGGGCTAGTGCCCCTTCGAGGAGAACGCCCAAAAGAATCGAAGTCTGAATGCCCAGCTGGTGTCAGGAAGGTGTCAATCTTTGTCCAGTTCTGCCGCTGCTCATTGGCCTTCGCGATGTCCAGCGTCCGGAAGCTCGAGGTATTGGACGCTGGCCCAAGGGCATACGGCATCGAGCTGGTGTGCTTAGGCTCTGCTTGACGGAGTGGGTCGCTCTCCGTGTATCGCGCATCGGAAGCATAGTTCCGGAATTGCCCGGGCCCCGACAGAACCGAGCCTGCAATTGGTGCTGGCTCATTGCTGCCATGGACGATGTTGACAGGCTCCTTGCAGAGGCGACGCTTGATTATCTTTGTAACATCTTTAACGAGGTCTGTTTCATCCATCTGGCGAGTCCTTGCGTCTGCTTGGAGAGCCACGCTTTCCCCTACGGGAGGAGTCCGGCCGCCTCGCCGATGGGACTGGAATATCTACAGCCCCGTGTCGGCCAGACTCGGGTCTCTTCGCCACGCGCAGTGGTGAGGCGGCATCGGAAGACATTTGCTAAAGCTATCTATGTACATGGGAGTGATCTTTGCACAAAAGCTGCAGTAGCATTCTGCTCCATTTGTGCATCGTACCCGTTTGCACCGCGGCTGGCTGGCCTGGTGGGCCAACCCAGCGAACTGTTAAAACCGAACATCTGCAATAGTCTAGTCTACCTTCCACCCGATGGTGTCTGTCGTGAATTGTTTGTCATGTATGTAACATAGTGACCCCTCTGCAATCCTGAACTTGGCAGATGACCGTACGGGTTCAGTCTCGCGATGAGCGTCTCGGCTGCATCTTCTGCAGCAACCTGATCTCAGATTCCCATCCCGTGACGACTCCACGACAGATTGGACGGCGTTGGCCTGCACATCTCGCTGCCGGCTCCCGAACTTGTCCAAGAGCACCGGGAGGTTTCGGACCTGCTCTTGCGGCTTCTTTCGGTGTGGAGTCAGAAGCGAGCACCCCCGAGCCAAGCACCAGGAAGGGCTCCGAGGCCTGCAGACCGGAAGAGCGCGGCTTGTGACAGAAGGTCGGAAGCGACATCTCGAAGCTCTGCGCTGGGGGGTCCGACGCGACCAACTTCTTCGTGCAAGCTGATCATGCCTCAAAAATAGCCAAAGGCAACCTGCTCTGTGAAGTGTCGACGGAGATGATTTTGGGGCCTCTCAAGGCGGCCAGGGCCGTGGAGGGCTCTCGCAGCAAGACCTGCAGCCGAAGTGTCGGAAAACGGCGCTCGGTGGGATTGTTCAAGGCAGAGTCCCTGCACCCTCCTCTTCCGATCAGGATTATGGCAAGGGCATGTGTTCGAAGTAACATGCAGCCGCTTTGAACAAAGCCAGACCTCTGGAATAACGCCAGCAGACTTATGGTGTGAGTCGTGATGCGAGGAAGAGCTCGCGACGACGCCGAGCAACTGCAGGGAGTTAGCAGCCGTGAGCTTCTGAGACTCTTGCTCGCAGTGCAGCACTGACAGCTGCGCAGGCCTTTGGCGGGCACCGGGGAAGAGCCAAGCGCCACTGCAGCAGTGGTCCCTAAATCCAAAGCCTTGACAGTGCAAACCCGAAACTCAAAAAGTTTAGGCCCATCATTTCCCAAAAGGTCCAAATGGTCTCCTTCGAAGAACCATCGTCCCCACCTGGACCGGCCGCTCTGTAGCGGCAACCACCTTCCCACACTCTTCTGCCTGCAACGGGTTCCACATTGCGCAGACTATGACTGTAGAACGTGCATCTATAGACTTTGCAATCAATTATGTTGGCAAAATTTTCTTCAATGACTTGAGGCCACTGCCGCACCGGGCTCGCCAGAAGCCAGCTGCCGCCTGGCACGCGGGTGTTGGCTCTTCAAGTCTTCGGCGCCAAAGCCAAAACCACACTCAAAACATGTGGAGGAGTACAGAAGGCTCTTGATAGGCGGACCTCATGACTGAAGAGTACTGCACGTATACGCAAGCCTCCAGAAAACCGTCTCCAGACAACATGATGTCGAGTCTTCCAGAAGAGACGTACATCAGAAATGCATCACAGTGTCAAGCCCCGCCACACTTTGACCATGTTGGAAAATGACGACACGGGCCAGGAGCCCTTCTGACTTTAGCCCCCGACTGTGAAGGGCTGCGCGGCTCGCATCCTCCTTTATCTCAGAGTCCTGCACCGGTCCTCTCAGTCTTGCACGAGACCACGCTGCGCATCCTTACGCATCTTTTCGCAAACCCAAAGCTTCCGAGTGTCCTTGAGTCTCAGTCTCCACAGGATCGGCAGGGCGGGACTCCTTCAGCTCGGAAAGCAGGTTCGACACACCCGGCAACCAATCAAAAATCCTGTCCTCCTCCTCTGCACTGGAACGAGAGGTCTCGCCTCAATCGCTCATCGCTCGGATAAAGCTGCGCCGGGAGTCCCCATTGCAACCAGGAATCTCTGCGCGTTCTCTTGCACCTGCACCAAAGAAGCGGGCAGTAGGCCCCGAAACCCTATACCCTGAACCCTAAACCCTTTGGGCTCTGTACGGCTCTCAGGTCTTCCCACAATGATGATGCGGCCTTCAGGATGTCAGGCAGCAGTTCCGCCACCAGCTCGTCCTAGCACAGTTGAATGAGTTCGCTTTTTCGGTTAGAAAGCCGAAAGGATCGCCAAATAGACCCTAAAGGTCCAGGCCACTAAGTAATATAGGGGCTTTCATAATTACCTATACTATTATGATGGGGGCTCCTTATTAAAAGTATAGCATTAAAAAACTATTCTAATTATTAAGGCCCAGAGTCTACATGTGCTACCATCGTAGAAGTAGGCCCCCAAATAGCGCATCCTTGCTATGGCTGCTAGACCCGGCTTCCATGATTAATGCCAGAGCATGCTGACACTCAAGAACCCTAAACCCCGAACTACCCCGAAACCCTAAACCCATATAGTTTTTAGTACCCAAAACATATTCTGGTAATGACCAAGGCTACGGTATGACAGTGGTCGGGCTGTGGGCGGCGTTGAACACTGGCCTGAGATAGACGCGAGGTATGGGATCCTTCATATAAGCCCCTTCACGGCGCACACACCAAAACGAGGTACGAGAATTACCGGAAGGTTCCATGTGCTGCCGATGGTTGGGGATTCTCTCCCGTGCCCCACGAGGGCCGTCGGTCCCGGTTGCGAAAAGTGAGTATCCGGGTCTTGGCGGTTAAGGCCCGGCCGGGCCGCACGCATGCAGAGTGTGTTCTCTGTGACTGATCATCCTCTGGAAAATCTGATTCTCAACAGTTAGCCGAGTTAGCTGGATCGAAACCGAAAGTTTCGTGTCTGCAGATATGCATCTACGGAGATCCCTCGAAGCTTGCATCGTGCCACTATCGTGCCGAAATCTAAAGCTCAGAGAAGCGGCCCTGCCCTTCGATCCCGAGGAACATGCGCAAAGAGAGCCAGAAGCCGAGCCAAGAAACGAACCAAAAACAGAAAGAGCGAGAGAGACAGAGAGAGAGACACAGACAGGCAGACAACCGTCCTGATCGCCGCCTGCCGGACCACAGTCGCTCGTGATACGGCTTCAAGTCCCGAGAAGACAAGCAGGGGCCCAGCTGGCCTGAATCTGGCTCACCTGCCGGAGAGCAAGGAGTGAAGGCTTGCCAAGCCAGGCAAGCCAAGCAATATGGATAACTTAGGGATCTGACTACTTGGGAGCTGCCGTCTGAACCGATTTGGTCGAGGCGCAGTCGGCCTTGCAGCACCGCAAGCGTGGAAAAGATCAGCAGCGGGGCAGCGACCCCGAGTGATGTAAGGTGCCGGCCCACCTCTCATCTCAGAGCGTGTGAGCCTGACGAAGGTCACCCCGCTTCTACATCGACACGGTACCGTGCTTTGGCTTGAACAGCATGCGAGCACACTGCCGTCCTGGGTACCTCGTCTGGTTCTGGGAAGACTTCCCTGCATACGAGACTTCAGCCAGAGGCTTTGAGCAGACCTGCAGCTGGCCTGGTAGTGTGCATGCTGGGCGGGATCACCTCCATACGCCAGGATGCGCTGAGCTGTTGGGTGATGGGACTGGTTGACAGTGGCAGGGATGACCATGGGACCATGTATGTGAACACTCTCCAGCCTTGGATGGTAATGGTAATCTCTTGTGGTTGCCTGCGACCCAAAAAATTTCGCATCAAGACGCTCAGGAGGTGTCGGGCAAACGGCCAAGATTCCGCTGCTGTGTTCTCGCTCAACTAACGTTCTGGTCTGCTGGAGGCCTGAAATCTCTTCGACATCTGTTTCACAGTAGCCATCAGAGCAGTACTCCTCCTGTCAGACCAGCAAGACTGCTGTAGCCGAGTCTGAAAGAGATGATGTTTTAGCATCTCCTCCCAACCGGCATCATCCACGAACTTCAAGACGACGTGCTCTTCCTTGCTTGTGGAGACTTCTACCCCGTGGCGAGAATCGCGCCTGTGACGATTTGCTGGCCTTCACATCAATCTCGTCAACAACTAGGGACACTAACAAATCGCCTGGAAAGGCTGGGAAATCCTGGCGCAGTTGCAGCGATATTACGTACAAGTCGCCAAAACCCACAGCCAAGATCTGTCGCCCTCAAACTGTGCCAGTCAGTCAATGTGGGCATTCGGCAGCAAAGCCTGGCAAAAGCAAAGGTCTTATCTGTCGCGATGACTCGGGACGTGTCGCGACCTCGACCACGCAGCCGAAGTCCACCCGTACACCGTCCTGGCATGCGGAACGAGAAGAACGACAGGTCTCGAGTCCGCCAACCCGCGGAGCTTGGCGGACCAGCGGCCTCCACAAAGCAGGTCACCTGTGAAAAAAAGATGTGCAGCGGCGACTGCGGACAAAATCTCTTCGCTCGGCCCGTGACTTTGCCCTGCACTACTTCGTTCTGGCGAACGCTTGCCAGAGAGCGCCTAAGCTGATTTCGAAGGTCTCAGCGTCGCCGACTGGCAAACTTCGGGGATGCTGCCACTTGGATCTCCGGGACGCCAGGGAGCCTTCCAGATCAGCGAGAAGCACAGAGAGATTTGATCCACTCCGCGGAGCATCCCGGGGTGCCCTGCCTTTCGAGCTATGCACATCGGCCCAACAGGAAACGGCCTGAAAGCGACTTTCGAGCCTCTCGCGCAGTATGGGTGCATGGCTGCTGGCCTGGTCTTGGTTCTGTTCGAACCCAGTCCTGCCTCGGCGTCCACACATCAGGCTAAGGCCGGCTGTGTCGGCAAAACGCTGCAAGGTACAAAAGCTCTACTCTGCCATCAATCATTTCCATCCTCGTTACAGCTAAGTACTGGAGTAGTGGGCTGAAAATCAGCCGGCCCCCGCCCCAAGAGACCAAATACCGCCCAAGTTTAAGCCGCAGGCCTTTCTGGGAGCCTTTCTTCGGCTTTTCGCCTTTGCCTGGCAAGAGCTGAGGTCGAAGCTGCGACGGTTCGAGGCCGCCCCACCTGCTTCCGGGCCACCCGCTCCTGTGCCACGCACACAAGCATTCCACAATTTCCACGAGTTTTCTGAGGGGATCTTCTGTCACACCGCCCTGTCCTTTCGCGCTGAAGAAGCTGGTTACCTGCAACAACGGCCCTACGAAGTTGCACGAAAAGTGCAGGAGTCGGGGCGGGGGAGGAGGGTTTACCCGGTACCCTACAAGCCCCATACAAGAGATGGCATGTAAGTGCATGCAGCGCGCGGTGAAATGGCAGTACTTGTAGCAGATACAACAAGCTATAGCAGTGAAGAGGCTGTTCGGAACACACAATGAAGAGAAGGCCATCAAGTGCAGCCGACAGATAACATCCTATCATACAGTATCATCTAATTATATATCTCATAACAGTCCTGCCGTAATAGAGAGGAAGAGGAGGGCGGACCGGCCTTCGTCTCCTGAGTGCCCGTCCAGAGACCTTCGGAGCGGGGTGGACGAGGGAAGGCTTACGGCAGCAGGGGCCGGGGTTCCGGCCCTTGCCCGTCTTTCCGCCCTTGCCTGGCATCGCAGGTAGAAAATGCAGTGTTGCTCCAGTCGCTTGCCGCTAGCTCACAATTCGCCGTCCAGCCTCCGGATTTCGCCAAGGTGACTTCGACCGGCGTCCGCCTGAGCCACTCGTCTCAGCAAGTCCGAATAAAAGACTCCTTGCAGAATTGCACAGCATTCGCTCCGAGACCCCTGCAGCCTGACGGCATTTCGGTCGTAGCCTTTCCGCACGTGTTTTGCTCTTGCTTGGCAGCTTTGGCCGACCGCGGGCCTTCATCTTCCGACCTCGGGGGAGTCGGCTGCCGCCGCAGCCTGGTGCAGGCGGCACTGGCTGCATTGGCTGCTGCTTCTTTTCCCTGAACCTTCCCTTCTTGTGGCACGCGCTCCCTTAAAGGATCGAAGCCTGGCCTGGCAGGCTTAGCATAGCCTGGGCAAGAGCTCTGCTTGACCGTTCAGAGGCACAACATGCCTTGCCTTCGTCCTCCAACTTCGGAGCAGAGGTAGGTCGCTGCCTGACACGGTTCTGGGCACCGAGCCCAAGTCCAATCAAAACACACTCACATACCAAAACTCCCGAAGCCTGATCGCCTTCCTGTAACTGCCTTGGCCAGAGATGTGCAGCGGCACGGGCTGTCTCAGAGAGCGGAAAGGCCTTCGTCTTCCAACTTCGATGGAGTCGAGGGCGTTCGAGGCCTGAAGCCGATGTGCCAAGCTCAATCCCCGAGAAGCTTGGGACTCAGCTCGTTTTGTCTTCGATGCAGAGTTTCATATTATGCCCCACAAGAGAAAACAGTATTGCCCCAAGAGGATCGGAAGAAATCACCGGGACAGAATTACAAGATGTTACAACCACAAGCAAAAGCGGAGCAGCTCACGCCGTGCCCATGCCCGATGCCGCAGCTACCTCCTGCAAGGCTGAGGCATAGAGGATGCTATGCCCAAGCTTGGCATCAAGGCAAGGGGATGCAGAGCGCGGAAACAGAAGGGCACCCAAGAACGAAGAGGGGGCAGGAGAGCTGCCAAAGAACGCATAAGTTGCGTCTCCCTACGCACGGGCACGCATCATCCGTGTATCCCGCTTGCTCCGAGACCCGTGCGGCCGGACGGGCTTGCTATCGGAAACGCTGTAGCCTTGGAAGAAAGCATGTTTCTGGTTCGTCGGATGGACCGTGCCACGCCTTCCTCCAACTTCGGCGGAGTCGAGGGCTGCCGTCGTTGCGGCCGCGGCCTCGGGGGCGGCACCGCAGAAAGGCTCCCCCCCCCCCGTCTCTCCGTCTCTCCTTTCTCTTTCTTCCCTCCTTTGAAGCGGCTTTGTTTGGGCCCTAGGGCCTCCTTGGAGCTTCTTCGACCTTCTCGGCCGGCTTTGGATCCGCATCTCGGCCGGCTCGAAACCAGCTCGCCTTTGAAGCAGAAATTCGCACTGAAATGGTGGCTTCTTCTCGGATCTTCTCGGATGCTGTGCGACCTCGCATTCGCAGAAGCTAAGAGGTGTGCGAGGCCTGGCATCGCTCTTCGGATCCTGGCAGCTGGTATATTGTCTGATCCGAATCAGGGGTCGGCGCTGAACCTCGGAGACCATCGCAGCTGCGATGAACCAATTCTGTAGTGGAGTACAGATGTTGGCCTTGGAGTGGGCTGGTGATATAGGTGCTCTCTCTGTCTCATGTCGGGTCGGCTTCGTGTCAGCTACATCAGCTGCAGAGTTTGTTCGGTCAAATCTCAGCTGATGAGCCGTTGACTCAGACTTCAAGAAGCACTGGCCCTTCCACGAAGGCAAATTCGTGACTAGCTTGCCTCGCTTCTGGCATAAACAAGTGCGCCACATGAAGCATCGAGTCACCTTTTTCCGCAGAAACCCTCAGGCTGCAACTCTCACACAGCGTACGTATGGTACGCAGTGCTGGCTTGTCGGCTGAAGCAGCCGCTGCGCATTTACGGACAGCGTTCTCGCTGCGGGTGCTGTACAAAGGTATGTCAAGGTCCGCTGCATGATGCATTTGCAGAGAGCATGGCAAGGAGTCTGCGCCTGGCAAGCTTAGCGGCTTAGCGGGAACAAGCTTCATGGCGGACCATCAACGCACCGCAATCTTCTCTCGACGAGCCGCTGATCAGCTCTTCCAGCTAAGCTTCCGCTGGTGCGAGCTCACTTCCCTGGTGCAGAAACTTGGGAATCACATAAGCACGCGTCGATGTGGGCTCGGTGCCCAACCTCCCAGTGAAGCACCGGCTGCTCCAAATGCCGGTCCTTGCCAGGCAAGCTTCTCTTGTTCTTCTGTTTGCTTGGTAAGCCCGGCTTCGTGCAGATGCCCGTTATACTGTAACAGTGTGCTGAAAAGCAAAGTAGATCGACCGTCGGCCACTCCTTCAATGCCGTTGCATCGAAGAAGTCCTGTACCTTGAATGCATGATCAAGAGCGGTGGGGCCGCGATGGGCCGCGGGTACCCATGAACAGAAGCCTCGGCGCTGAGATGCCAACAAACCGCGCATTGGAAAGACGCCGCAGTTGCTTTCGCCAAGGCCTCGGCCGACAAACCGCCCGCATCCGCCCGCTGCCCCCGCCTCCCGCGTTGCTCTTCTCTGAGAGCCGAGCGCATCACGAACAGGCACGAAAAGATGAACCTGTGACGGCCATGCGGAGAAAGTGTCAGGTGCAACATGCGCGAAAGCGGATGCCTTCTTGAAGCCCGCGACAATTCGGTCCAGCTGCTTGCCCACAACATCGTCCAAGTACCTCTTGCTGGTAAACTGAGCCAAGCTGACATTGTGCTGCCAGCACGCAGGTGGCAGGGCACGCATCCGAAAATGGCGGATTGACCGACACCACCTGGGTATCGCAGCAAGCAAATCACCACCCTTGGCCAGGAGTTTGCAGAAGGGGCTTTTTCCGACGAGGATTCGTTCGGCCGCTCGGACAGCCTCTCAATGAGCCCGGATCCTCAAAACCTTCCATCTGCACGAAAATGCCCAAGAGTTGACGATGGCAGTTTCTTTCTAAAAGTGCCGCGCAAGAGTGAAGCCCGTGGCAATCATGCTGTCGAGGACGGCAATCAAATGAACGCTTGCTCAGCACAGTGAATCTCACGTGTCAATGTGGACACCCGAGCGATCTTCTCAGACGGTACTTGCAGGTTTGCATCTTCAAGCATGCTGGGGTCGCCTAAGGCCCAATGAGGACTATGCAATCTGGCTCGACCCGAAGGGCACGCAGCCGAACAGAGTGTGACATAACAATGTGAAAATGCAGCCACCTGTGATTGTCTTGTAGATTAGCCTGCAACAAACACTTAAAGGTCACACCTCAAACACATTCAGGCTTCGCATGCCCGCGTCAATCTGATGAGGTCTCGACAGCGGTGGATGGCCACTCGTCAAGTACATCCGGATACCTGCGGCACTACGAATGCCAAGTCGAAGTCAGCTCGGTTCCTCGTTTATGCGGTTTGCGCACGAGCCCGCCGAGCCAAAGATCTTCTCGGCATGAGGGAAGCGGGAAGCATACCTTAACTCTGATATGTGGGACGCAATACGTCGGATGCTCTGAGTGCTGGCCAAGCCCAGGGCTTGCCGTTGCTGACTCGAGCATTGAAGGGCGACGCGAAGAGCTCGTACCTACAAATCCGACTCCGACTCGCCGCAAAGGAATAACAGGAAAAAGAACAGGAGACACGGCAGGAGAACTCACAGAATCAACTCGGAGCCCGGAACCGCAACTCTGACACCAAGCTTGGCAGGTACTCCACGTCGGCTGCTTCTTTCGAGGACGGCCGCCAGGTACCTGTGATAAAAGCCAGCCCGGATTCAGAACATCGGAATGGACTTTACAGTATCTGTTGGACATTGCGCACATCAACCACCGGTGCTAGGGCCCGTGCAAAGCTGGTGTGAACTTCTTTGACCGGCAGTCAACACTGGGTTCCTTAGCAGGAGTCAAGACAACATGTTCAAGACAGAAGAAATCCAGTTTGTGCTCAAACCTTCCCACATCGACGCTGTCCGAAGCCCGTCACCAGACATCCTAGAAAGGTCACATGCCAACTACCAAGTGGGCTGTCGCTGAGCCGCTACAGTCAAGCGAGGAGCAGTGGAAAAAACGAGGAGCAGTCAAGAAGTCACAGCAGGGCCGGAGCAGAGCCCAGATGGCTGCTTTCTGAGCTCCAAGCTCTAGCGCCCGGTAGAGCGCGAAGACACGTGCCATGGCCTTTTAAGTTCAGGAAGAGCCACCATGAGCTAACGAGCACTGAAATGCATCCATCCACACATCTCGAGGCCGGAACAGAGGCACGAGAAGCGACATTGTCCTGTGCACTTGGTATTGGGACAAAATCCTTGAGTCGTGCTTCGGCACCAGTTACCCTAAACAGTTAAACATGTGCATTGCATGTCGGCGTCCGCTGACAGAGTGTAGCGTCGCAGCAACGCCTGGGTCAGATGACAGCAGATACATGGGACACCATGCAGGTTGGCCGGTTGGGTTTCTGCAGAACCAAGCCAAACAACTCAGCGCTTGCCAGCCCTCGCTGCTTGCTCTTTTTCGGCAAGGAATTTATGGCCACTCACGCACGCATGCGCGAATGGGCGGCGAGCAGGTGGGTAAGTACCATTTGGCCAGTTGGGTCGTTTGCCCTTCCAGCAAAATCACGAACGCTTCCACCCGAACCGACCACGAAACGCAAGTACATGCAGGTGACGAATCATTCCTGGGCCGTGAGTTGCCATGACCCTGGTGTCTTCGTCTTCGGGATCATTCGCTTGGCTTGGAAACTTCGCCGTCTCGTCTGAACCCTTACTGTTTCCACAGCAAGAAGTGTGGGGCCTGGATGTCCGTCTGCAGCACCGGGAAGCGGTGGCGGCCCACGAAGAGCTGGTGGCAGGGAAATTCTACGGCAAAAGAGCTTTTCGGAGGAATCGAGCAGGGAGGCATTCATCAGCCGATCTGTTGTAACTGTGGCCTCCGGATTCTGCTAGACCGTTCGTTTGAACATCCGCGTGCTCCGTCAGCTCACATGCGGTGATAGATACAGATTCGATCTGCTCTTGAGAAGGAGCAAACACAAATTGTTGGTGACTGCTCTACCTTCCTAATTGTGTCCTGTTCACTTTGGATTTCTACCAGAGCAGTGAGCAAACCTAGATCCATATTTGGCTTAGCCGGCTTACCTTCTCCCAGAAGCAATGCACCCCACGCGTGGGCTGGACCTCGCTCCAATTCCCGGCAGGAAACTCCGCCACGTAGCTGCCGGGAACGAAACTGGCCAGGATGCAAGCAGTCCAACAGCTCAACCGATAAGGGCTGCGGGGGCAGGCTTTTATTTGGCACACAGGGACTGCTGGCAGGGATCTGTCCAAACGTACGGCATCTCAAGGTACATGTCAGGCCCTTTCTTCATGCATTCTCTAGCATAACGCGGCATGTGACATCATCTGATAGCTGCCTTGGACATGGTTTTCAGTGCAACCTTTATCAGCCAGCAGCCAAAAACTGCCTGCTGTTCTGGAACGCTGCAAGTCCTCGGAGAAGAGCCGACAGCTGGCAAACTAACTTCTTGCAGTGCAGCAGCATAACCGGCTGCTAGTGCATGTGCAATGCTAACCATACAGAACATACACACATGTAGAACCACATATGTTTGCTTGCATTTTCTTATTCACATATTGTGCATAGCAGGTAGAGAGCAGTGTGGCGATTCCTACTATTCCAGCACCTCGTCCCACTGTTGCATTTCGCGACAATGACCCCAGAACTGTACGTCGGCTTGAGCACTTGCTAAGAGTTCAAGAGACTTCAGTGAGCTCAATCCGGTGAGACACTGCTCTTGGCTCGGTACGGTGCAGGACGTTGCGACGAGGTGCATCCGGCAGCCTGTGGCACAGCAGAAGGTCAGCACGGAAGCAAAGGGCCAAGTGCACTGTCTGTCCAGCCTCTGCCAAAGCGCCGAATCAATTGAGGGGACCATGGGGTCCTCCGACGAGGGATCATACATCGTGTCGCTCGAGGTTCAAACAGTTCTTAGTGTCACTCTGGTGCATGGTGGCCCCGTTGCAAGCACAAGACTGACCCTGGTGTCCCATGGTTCGACAACCCTTTTGAACAGGTGACTGCTCAGCTTCGTCCTGCCCGGGCGAGCACGCTAGTGCAATATCGGTTCTTGATTTCAAACATATGCACTTGGGAGTTGTTTGCCATCACGGTCACTTCAACCTCGTTTTTTGTCACAACGGTCCTTATCAATGTAACGACTCCCCTTTCCTGCTCGCTCTGTATTCGACCAGAGCCTGTACTCTAAAGCAGAGCAAACCTGCGTTGGCCGAATTCGGCTCTTCAACGAGCTTGCACAGACGGCTTCACATGCAGAGTACCATCACTAACTGTCTCGTCACTTTATCGCTCGATGTACGCATGCATGCAGTCAAATCTGCAAGTCTGTGTGAAGGCGCTCTCCACATGCAGGATATACATATATACATATGTATATATGTATGTATGCATATACTTACATGTTTCAACACACTGACATGTCTCGGCCAATACGCTTGCAAGCAGGCAGATGTATGTAAGCTATGTATGTATGTATGTATGTA